CACAGAGCAAATCACCTGTGCTCACAGGAGGGGTTTGGAATGAAGGCCATGAAGAAACGCTGTGGCCTGGGGGAGGAACCTGAGTCTCACTTTCTTCAGCTGTGCTGCTAAAGCTCCAGAGGATGAATGATACAATGTGGTAGGGACTGGGACACAACCTCAAGGGAGGTGTTACTGTAGCTGCTGTGGAGAGGAAGAACGCGCAGAAAGTGAATGATGCCTGGGGCTACCAGAAGACATCCTCCACCTCAACATCCTTCTTCCCAGAAGAGTCCACCAGAGAGGTGTGTGGCCTGGGAAGGGGAGTCACATGCCAGAGGAGCGCACTTCTTCCACTTCCTGTCCAGTTGATGTCCCCAGATGGCCACCTGCCTGGCACTGGGTGGGACAGGACAGAGCAGGAGAGGGATCTTCCAACACCCCTGTGCTCTCAGGGCTGTCAGGAGTGGGAGTTCCTGCTGAGGCAACTGCACTGGCTAACTGGAAGGGAGAGGCATTTACCAAGGTCACATGATGCAAATCGGACATGTCTCACAAGAGAGGCCCTCACTGGTATGCTGTGGATCAGAACAGGAACTTGATATTTTGACCTCAGTTCTCTGTCAGCCTTTCACTCTTTGCCCCCCCAACATGTGTCCAGACGCACCCGTGTTGCCTCCTGGGAGTGCTGCTTACCAGGCAGGCAGCCCCACGTCTGCTGCTTTTGATCCAGCTCCAGGTGCTATGGACTGAAGGCGCCAGAGAACAGTGGAGGAGATGATGGGCAAAGAAAATCTCTCAGAGATGTTCTTTTTTCGCAAATAAAAGGGTTCTGGGATACTTTTTACTTTTTGTTTGCTGTTTGTAAGTTGGCTTGTTCATCAATGCAGTACATTAAACAGTTGAAATCCTTTGCTGAAATATGAAATGCACTGTAGTTCCAGTCCTAAAGGTGGACTTATACATTACTGTGTCAATTAAAAATTATCCTTTTATAAACTGCTTGTGAATCACAAGGTTGATGGGAATATTAGATTTCACGACGAAATCCTGACCCTTAAAAACTCTGTAATCTCCAGATAACATTTCCTAAGGCCGATCCCTCAAAAGAATGGGGCCTGGGCTGCTGATAGATATACACAGAGAAAAGGGGGGAGGGGAGGGGAGGGGAGGGGGAGAGTCAGAGAGAGATCTGCACCCAAGGAAGCTGCATGAATGGGCTGTTACCAGGGACGAACTGCCAGGGCCCTGCCTGTGTTCAGCTACTGGGCCCTTCGAGACTTCTCCCTCAGATGCTTGAACGCAGCTGTCCGTTTTCCCGCTGGTGGGCTCTTCCCATTAGGACACCTTCTGCTCTAACTGCCCTCCTGCCCATTTGCTGCCCTGAGAGCAGAGCTCCTGAGAGCTGCCTGGACTCGGGCTCCAGTGTCACCCTCCAGGTACCCTGGAGTCCACTCACGTTCACTGTGTCACGGAAACTGTTCCCCCTGATGTCCCCAGTGATGCAGGCACCTACTGCTAACTCCAGCAGTCAACTGCCCACCTTCGTCTTATTTCACCCTTGGCCCCCACTCCTGAACATCCCCTCCCTGGGGCGCCACATGCTCGAGAACCTTCACCCCCATCTGGAGGACACTTTCACAGTCTCCGCTCCTCCCTGGCCTCTGAGGTGAGGCCCAGTCTGGGTGTTGGCCTCTGGGTATCTCCAGCTGTGCACGCTGTCTCCCACGGTCACTGCCACCAAGCCCCGCGCCCCCAAGGCCATCAAAGCAGGGAGACTCTGAAACCAACACACCCAGTGGGCTGATCCGGCCCCTGAAGGAGCCTGTTTCACCATTTCCTCGGGTTCCTAACAGCAAACTGGACGTTTCCATTCTTCCACCTGCAGTCCTTCCTCTCCTAGTGAAACGCTGCTCCAGGGACCCCAGCCCTGGGATGGAGGCAGAGTCTTCCCCGAGCCTTCCCACCACATCCACATGGAGGCTTGGGGTCAATGTGCTGGTTCTGCCTCCAGGAAGAAACCGGAACCTGACCACCCGGCAGGGATCTACCAAAGCCGTCTCTCCCTGGGTTTCTACAGGAGCCTCCTAGGTGATGGCTCTGCTCCTCCAGGGCCCCCGCAGCCTCCTCCCCACAGGACAGCCTGAGCAAGACGCTCACCATGTGCAGCGGGTGACACGCTCCCGCCCAGCCCTCCTAGTCCCCATGGCTCAGGTTTCCTGCAGCCACACTGTGTGTGACTGGGTCTGTGACCTGGCCTTCTCCCTCTTGCCCCATGCACCCTCTGCCTCCTGGTGACCCTTCTCACACCCAAGGCCACTCCTACCACAGGGCCTTTGCCTGCCTGCCCCTTCGGCCTAGAACACACTTTGCCCTGTGTTTCTCTCTCCAATTCTGCTCAAATATTCCCTTGCAGGCTGGGACGCCCCGCCCGGACCACATTGATAATCCCAGAGAACTCCAGCCCCACCTCCAAGCCTTCGACCCCACCCCTCCTCCCCAACACCCTGGTGCACTGCCTTTACCACTTCCTTCTTTACTGCACCTGTAGACACTGCGTCCCTGAACTATCAGTGCCACAAGAGCAGGGGTGTTTATCTGTTCCTTTCCCATTCACCCCAAACCTAGTGGCCAACAAACAGCACATAAATGCCACTGGCTACATGAATAAATTAGTGAATATGTAGCCTGTTCAATAAGCAGCAGGAAGCCATTCAAAAATTTCCACAAGTGTGGTCCGCGGTGTCCCCGGGCGGCAAGTCTGTGCCAGACCCCACTCCCAGCCTGGCGGTTTCTTGGGCACCAGAACTGGTCTTCAAGAGGCACCAAGGCGCGCTTTCGTGTGCTCCTCCCCAAGGCCTCCCTCTGCCTTCACACAGCCTGACAACAAAGCCCCGCAGGGAGGAGTGGGGCCTCCCCCCGCCCAGCTCCCCCAGCTCCCCCAGCACCTCTGCTGGCCTGCGCACAGGTGTCGCGCCTCCTGCCCCGAGGGTGTCCTGGTCAAGGGGGAGAACCCAGATATGAGCCCCAGCAACAACTACCACCCCCTCCCACAGTGCTGATGATCAGTGAATTCTGGAGCCAGGAGGAGACCATCAGTGGGAAATTTTCTGCGATTCTCCTTAAAACAAGCAGCATCATAAAACGTGAACTTCTGCAGGCACCTGGCACTCCAGCTTTCTCGGGTTTCTGAGCGGGGTGGAAAGCATCCCCGCATGGACCTCGCCAGGAGCGTCTTTTTGGTGCTGTCACCTCCAAGAAAATGACTTTGGACCATTTTTTGCAATGGTAAAAATATTCAAAGCCCGGCGGAGGATTTAGCTCAGTGCCGCCTGCCTCGCAAGCACAAGGTCCCAAATGCGATCCCTGGTACCAAAAACAAAACAAAACAAAACAAAATGTTCAAGGCCAAAAGCATCATAGCTTTGAAAAGAAAGAAAAGCTTTCCCTGTAAGGAAAGAGGCTAAGGGGCTTTCACCAGTGACTTGCCCAGTGAGGCAGTCCCTGGGGGCCAGGGACACCTCCGTTCTCCCCACCACCCCAGGATATCTGGCAGGAAGGAGAGAGGAGGGAGGAGCCCAGGCAAGAACACACCCTCGCAGGTCACCCCAGTGACTGCCTCCAGCCAGGCCCCGCCTCCTAACAGCTCAGTCAGCCACCAACCCACCCATGGGGGATTGCTGAGGAACACGGCGCCCCGTGATCCATCACCTCCACACACACGAGGCTTTGGGCGCATCTTACATCTTAAGCATCACACCTTACAAAGGGCTCCTATCGCCCCGAGAGGGAGTCACACTTCTGCTAGGCGACCGACTGCTCTGCCCCAGGAAGGGCGGGTGGGATGTGTGTGAGCTGTCACCTGCAGTGGGTCACTGAAGGGCAAGTGTCTGTCCTTGTTCTCAGAGCTAAGATGTCCCTTTCATAACCCCACAAGCAGCCACTCACTTTCCACTGTGCCTTCAAGACAGCTTCAGAAGGGGGCATCAGAGCCAACAGCAGGACAGCCAGGGACACGCAGCCTGTGTCACATGTGTCCAGGTGCAGCAGCAGGATGCTATGAGGATGACCTTCATCATGCACAAAGGAAAAAGCCTGCAGCTGTGTGGCTCCCCTCCTCTGATGCACTGTGAAGTCCTTTCAGGATCTGACAGCACCCAGGTGCCCAGCTCAGCTTAAAGGTCACAGAGCCCTGGGGCCACTGCCTCAGCCACTCCCTGCTCGCCTGCACTTCTAGGCCCAGCTGATCCTCTAAGTCAGCAGGCTGCTCTTCAGCTTCCACACTGGACTCCCTTCCTCTGCTGCTGCAGGTAACTCCAACCAAGTGGTACAGCTTCACCTTTCAACATCCTCAGTTACTTCCCGTGTACCTAAGGAGCCAACATAGGCCTCCTGGGCTCCTCAACACCCTGGACTCTGTGTGGCTCATTTTTTAAAGGTTTGTGCCTAATATGAAATAACCACCCTTGGTTCCCCAAGTGCAGATAAGTGCACAGCCTTGGTGAGCATTGTTCATCACATTTACACTAGGGGCATGTACAGATACAGACTCCTGATGTCACTTGTAAAGCTCCTCTGGCCACTTAACACCTCCCCTTGATCCAGACACCAGAGCCCCCAACACAGAACCGTGCAGGGTTTGTGCTTCACCCCCAGGTTACGAGTAACACTTTGTGCACAGCCTACCCACTTCATTCACACAGACGCAGTGTATGTGTGGCCTGTGGCTAATTCAAGCTTTGCTTTCTGGAACTTTCTGGAATTATCCTTTCAGTCAACAACTGATTGGATCTGTGGGTGAAGGTGAGAACCCATGGACGCAAAGGTCAATTATATCTCAACCATTATATTTCTACCCAAGTAGCTCAAGTATATAAGCAATAAACCTTGAGGCACTCAGAGACAGAATGGATCTTTTAAAAAGTACTCCAGGATAGCTGTGGAAAAGCTCAAAGGTGTTTCTCTCAGCTCCACTCCCCACAGAGGGCCCTGCCAGAAGTCTGCTGGCTGCAGCTACTCACAGGTCGCTGGTGTGGCACGGGTAGGGCCCTGCCTGTGCCTGCGTGGTGGGCTCCAGGGCTTCTTGCCCAGTCTGCACCGCGACGATGGCCCTCTCAATCATGTCTTGCAGCGGGACAAAGATGTAGTTATATCTGAATCCGTCGGCAGGCAGACTCTGAGGATGAAACTTCCAGGAAGGATTTTTTACCAAATCTGTCCTCATGCTGTATAAGATGCTGGTCCGAATTGTGTACGTGACATGAGGCAGCAATCTGAGAGATGCTGATCCGAAGCTCCTGCCAACTGAGGAACTGTTGAATATGATACCTGGCGGCAGAGAAGGACAGGTGAGCAGTGCCAGAGCTCAGAGAGGGGTCCACACCTCCCCCTCCTGCAGAAGGAGAGCTGGCCCCAGCAAGGCAAAACCAGGCTCAGTCCAATTGGTAGTAAGACTGAACCAAGACCCAACTCTCAGTCCAATGTACCTTTTCTTTTGGTAAAATCATACTGTGGTACCACCAATACAAAGACACAATTTGTTTTTTGCAGGACTTGAAAAATTATACAGGGCTGCTCAAATAGTAATTGGCATCTCTTCCTTGAGTTGTGGATGTGAGTGGATGCACATAATCCAGCCCCCCTCCCCTTGTCACTCCTAACTTAAATGTATGGATTGTGTTTCTGCCACATGGACTCTTTGAATTCCATCCATAAAACCTGTCATGAACTGAACTCTCTTCCTCCAGAGTGCATATGATGGAGTCCTCACACCAGGGCCTTAAAATGTAAGTGTGCATTAGATAAATGTGATGCAGTAGATAGCATCTTTGGAGGGTTACTGAGTTAAAATGAGGCCTTTAGGATGGGCCCTAATTCAATACGATGGTGTTGCTATAAAATGAGGAAAGCCAGACACAGACACAGGTAGAGGTAAGGAGAAGAAGGCCATGGACAAACTAGGGAGAGGAAACAACAGAGAACATTCCCTCCCAGTCCTCAGAAGAAATCCACAGATGCCTTAATTTTGCACTTCCAGCCTCTAGAATGGTAAAACAACTCATTTCTGTTGTTTAAATCACCCACCTGCAGTACTTCACCAAGACAGCCCTGGCAAACTGGTACAAAACCTCATAAAACACAAAGCAAGGGGTGGAGGTGTAGCTCAGTGACAGAGCACCTGTTTAGCTTGCACAAGGCCCTACAGTCCATCCCTAGCCCCCAAAACAATGATAATAATTAAATGTTGATTCAAAAAGAATACAGAAGATTAATAATGGATTCTAATTGACCATTTTATTTCCTCACCCTCAACCCAAAAGAGCAAAATGCTATGATAAAAATAAACGTGACGGGTAAATTAGAATATAACATTAGTTATGAATATTGTTATGTATCACGCGAGATTTAACCATAAACAATGTCAAAAAATAGTAAAAACAGATGCATCCCATACCATCACTCTCGGGATGGTGAAAAGCAGTTAGTCATTATGGCAGGAGACATGTCTCTTCATTAACTCCACGTGTATATTTCTGCTTCATTTTATATTTTGTTGGTTTTCTCTGAGCCAACATAAAACACCATTAGGGAGAAGTACATGAGATGACAACTATTTGAGCCCGTGTCTTTGTGATTGAATTGTCTATTACTTACTGGCCAAGAACTTGTTCTTCTGCATAAGCTTTTGTGCTTCCAACTCCAGGATGTCCACTGACTCCATGGCCTGGAAGCGATCCAGCAGCACACAGGAAGAGAGGTTGACCAGGGCACTGCCCAGGAAATGGAAGTATCCAGGCCCTGAGCGGTTAAAGACCTTGTCCAGCATCCCTCCTGAGGATAGCAAGCAAATCAGAACACATCAACTTCTCTTCCACTCCCTGCTTTTTGTTCATACAGTGGGAGTCAGGCAAATGACTTTCAAAATAAACAAAATTCCCTCATGAAAAAAATTATTCAAAAGGGACTCAAAATTTGATCATATGCAAAATTTGCTATTTATTTGCTGAATGCAAGCTCTCCACATTTTATATGTGTTCTGTGTAATGCTGATACATCTAAATACAAAAATAGTTAACACACAAGAATAAGATTGTGTGTTACCTTTTTATGTATGTTCCCTGCAATGTCGATGCTCATATCTAAATGGAAAAACATAGTTAACACACGAAGGTAAGACTGCATCACAGAAACTTGTGACCATGGGAAGAGGACAGAATAAAAATAGAAGAAAAAATCTGAACCATAAAACACATATAGGAAAGGAAGAACTCAAATTATCATTGTTTGCAGATGATATGATACTCTGTGTAGAAGACCCAAGAACTCCACTAAAAAATTCTTAGAATTAATAACCAGTTTTAGCATGTAGCAGGGTACAAAATCAACACAGAAAAATCAGTAACATTTGTATACACCAATAATGAACTCAGTCAGAAACACATTATGAGAACAATACCACTCACATTAGCATCGAGAAAAATTAAATACCTAGGATTAACATAGCCAAAGAAGTGCAAGACCTCTATAATGAAAACTGCAGTACACTGGAAAAGGAGAATAAAGAAGACGTCAGAAAATGGAAAGATGTTCCCTGCTCCTGGATGGACAGAACCAATACTGTCAAAATGGCCAGACTTCAAAACTGTTCTACACATTCAACATAATTTAAATCAAATTACCAACAGCATTCACCACCGAACTAGAGAAAGCAATCCTAAAATTCATAAACCAGAAGATTTCTAGAGTAGCAAAAGCAATACGGGGCAAAAAGAACAAAGTAGAAGGTATCACAATACCTGACTTCAAGCTATGCTACCTACAAAGCAACAGTGATTAAAAACGGCAAGGTACTACAATAAAAATAGACACATGGATCAATAAAACAAAATAGAGGATACAAAAACATCCCCAGACACATTCAGCTATTTGGCCACAAAGTGGTCAAAAACATACACTGGAAGAAAGACAGCCTATTCAACAAATAATGCTGAGAAAATAGTCTGCAGAAGACTGAAGCTGGACCTACATCTCTCAACATGTACCAAACTAAAATCAAAATGGATCAAAGATCTAAACATTAATACAGAAACAACGAACCTACTGAAAGAAAAGACAGGTGAAACATTTGAAGACATAAATGTAGGCAAGGATTTTCTGAACAGAATTCCAATTGCACAAAAAATAACGGCAAATAAATATCAACAAATGGGATTACATCAAATTTTAAAAGCATACAGCAAGGAAGTGAAGAGACAACTACAGAAAGAGAAAAAAATTTGCCAAATATATATATATCTATATATATAGATATATAGATATGTGTGTGTGTGTGTGTGTTTGACTAGAATATATAAAGAACTCAGAAAACTTGGATCACCTAAAAGACCTGATCGAGAAATGGGCATGTGACATGAACAGACACTTCTGAGAAAACGAAGTACAAACGACCAATAAATACATGGAAACACATGCAGCATCTCTGGCCATTGGGGAAATGAAAGTTAAAACAATGCTGAGATTCCACCTTACACCAGAAAGAGTAGCATTCATCAAATCAAAGAATAACAAATGCTAGTGTGGTTGTGGGGGAAAATGACCCCTCCTACATTGTTGGTGGGAATGGAAACTAGTACAACCACTATGGAGATCAATATGGAGATTCTTCAAAGAACTAAAATTAGAAATTGTATATGACCCAGCTATTTTCTTTCTAAGTATCTTTTTTTTTTCTTTCTAAGTATCTTCCCAAAAGAGCTAAAGACATCATATAACAGTGATATGGGCAGACCAATGCTTATAGCAGTACAATTCACGAGAGTTAAATCCTGTAAGCAGCCTGTATGTCCAACAACAGAAAAATGGACAACGAAAATGTGGTATCTTCATAATGGAATACTACTGGACTACAAAGAAGGATAAAGTTGAGACATTTGTAGGATATGGATGCACCTGGAAATATATATATTATGTTATTAATATGTAATTATTAATTACTATATATGTTATTATTACATATAATATATTGTATATATTATATTTTATATATAATATAATGTTGTGTGTTCAGACACACAAGCTTAAACCCCCTATTTTATCTTTCATTTGAGTAAACCAATGTACAAACAAAGAGCAAAATAAAGGTTGGAAAGAAGGAAACAAGGGAATAGATCACTTGCAAATGGGAAGGGGTCCAGGAGACCAGGTCCAAGGGGTGAGAGGGAGAGGAAGGGGAAGTATGGAGATCTAAGATGTGTCAGGTACCGGCACTAAATACTCAAAATGAATGTAAACACTGTATATCATAAACATGAGTTTAGAATACTAACAACAATGAGAATGAAAATGGGAAAAGGTGATTTTGAGGTGGAGGAAGGGAAGAGAGCGGGAAAGGGAAGATGATTCGAAAAAGAGCCAGGCTGTTTTATGTACATGCTCCTACTCCCCAAGACGAATGTAAATTTTGTGTACTGCAAATATTTACTAAAGTTAAAGTTTTACAAAGAAAAGCGAAGTCTACCAGCCAAAAAATATATATAAATACATGACAACAGGAAAAGAACTGGGCCAACTACATAACAATGGCTGGCTTGCTAAAGACAAGGTAAATGCAATTTTGAATTTTCATTTTAAAAATGCAATAAACCTGAGCCTTCAGGACAGGATGGCCAGTGACCTGATGTGGCCGCCATCCGATTCACAGAAGCCGAGAAGACAAGGTGTTTGGCCTGCAGAAGGAGACACAGGTTCCCTGCCGTCCACTCGGCCTCATGGTCTGAGGGCCGCAGTGAGTGCAGCTTCAGCTGTGGATGCTCTGTCCTCACCCCGCCCATGACGAGCAACTGATGGCTACACACTGTGTCATCGTGGAGATCAGATGCAGTAAAGCATGAAGCTCAGCTGGTGGCCCCGGGGCTGGGGCAGGATGTGCACTTGGTGTGGCATCGTATATAGTTATTAGTGTGTAAAATCAATTGGCAGCAGAGGCACAATAGAGGTAACACAGCCATCAAAGCAATGCTCTGGGTATCAAATGGGCTTCAGGGTTCCAAACTCACCCCCGCCCTGGCCAGGATGGAAAGCTGGGCGGCCCGGGTTATCTGTTGTGGAGATGTGGACCACAGGGGCTGCACCTCTGGCCTGGAGTGGCTGGTGCAGGGACAAAGCCCGCGGCCCAGCTGTAATACCTTCCGGTCCACTTTCTCCAGCTACACCTTTCTCCAAGATGACATCAGGTGTCTGGATCGGACCTTGACTGTTGACCTCAGTGGGCAGCGCTGACCTGTACTGTGCCACTGCGATACCTGTCCAGTGTTCCCACTGCAGCCACAGGAGGGGGAGGGGAGAGGAGGGGTGGAAAGGGAAGGAGAACATGGAGGGGGGAGGAGAGGGAGGAAGAGGCACAGGGGAAAGAGGAGGAGGAAGAGGAGGAGGAAAAAAAAGAGGAAGATGCAGAGGGAGAGGAAAATGAGGAGGAAGAAAATGAAGAGGAGGAAGGAGACAGGGAGGAGAAGAAGTGGAGGAGGAGGAAGAGAAAGGGGAGGCAGGGAGCAAGAAAGATCCCGGATGTGCCTGCACAAGGTGAAATCCTGAAAATGACTGATCTGTGTTACAACGTTGTATTTCACCAGTCCACCTGCGTTTGTTCAGGGTGAAGATCTGTCTCACTTTCCCCCAAATGCTGCAGCATAGGTAAGCCTTGGGGCTGGGCTCCGCATCCTCAGTGGCCAGGACCCACTGCAGCATCTGTGCCTCAGGCTTGGGTTCTTCTCGCAGGGGCATGGACGGCGTGGGGTGGTGGCCAGGGACTGGCGAGGCAGAGACCCCTGGGGAGGCTGCCAATCCCTCTCCAGCACAGGCCGTGCTCAGGGCGGGAACTCAGTAGGGTCGTGGAGGAGCACAGCACGGTGCAGTGCCCACACAGCCCCCTGCCCCTTTAGCAGGGAAAGGATGAATCTGTCACTGTTCCCACGTCTTTGTTTCTATGAGGAAAGTGTATGCACCCATGGGGTTGCTGTGAAAATTACATATATTTACATATATATGTACACAGCATTTTGTAAATATATACATTTTATATAAATGTTTATATGTAAATCTTATATACTTTTACAATATAAGGTCATAAAAAGATATAAAATATTTTAATATATCCATGTTTATTGTATATAAATCTATGTATCCATATAGTAGACACAAATTAAGTCTGTGTGTCTGCATATATAAATACGTGCATGCTGATGTTACCTTCATGTTACGGACTGGTGCCTGTGCCCATACTTATAACTGCTGAGTGACAGGCAGCTGCCCATCAGCTGTCTTTCATCCCTCTGTGTGCAACTAGCAGGACACCTGGAAACAATACCAAAAGCCTCACTCTCCACTGTGATGGACTTCAGTATTTTTAGGGTAAACTGGGGAAAGTTTAATTTTACAGAATGGGGCAAACAGGGTCTTGTTATAGTCCATCTCCATTTTATGTGCTGGCCATTTGTCACAAAATACGCTGCTTTCTAGGTTCGCAGGAAAGCTTAGACAGCTTAACTGCACATAACGCCAGGTGGTAAACACAACGAAGAGCGACTTGATCTCCAATCATTTGCCTTTCACTATCTTCAAGGGAAGAATTTTTTTTAAAGGCTTTAAAAAGCCAGATCACTTACGACACAGAGGCACACATCATGTGCCTGGGTGTGCGTGCGCGTGCGTGTGCATGATCGGCCTGTCTCTGCAGTTCCTCACCTGTGGATCCAGCCCACCCCATCAAACATATCTTAACGAATGACACCCGTTCTGAACAGATGGACCCCTCACTTCCCCTAAACGGTGCAGTTCAGCATCCTCTACACAACATTCACACTGGGTCACTTCTGAGTGACCAGCAGTGATGTGGGCCGCGTGGGAACGTGTGGTTTCAGCGAAGGGACCTGAGCACCCGAGACTGGTGTCTGTAATGGATCCCGGGAACAACTCTGTGCAGACAATGAGGGACCACTGTACACCACACACACGCACAACACACACACACACACATACACACACACACACACTTCTCACTGGGTGGGAGGACTCTGTGCTGCTCTGCCATAGTGAGGTGCCCACTCCTGCACTGCAGATTGGTTATCATGACTTAAAACACAGTCAGACATTAGCTGCACACCGTCCCTTTGGACACCTGGTCTGTGCTGTCCAACCTGAGGGGACGAAGGCACTGCCATGGGAGAGATGGAGAACAGAGCAGGGCACAGAGCCCCTGGAGGCCTGGAACCTGGCCCCCTTGCCTTCGTGGTCCACTCTGGCTCCTACAGCATGCAGCAAGTCAGTGCAAAGGACCAGGAGTGGGAGACCTGGGAGAGACACACTGCCTACTCTTAGTCCTCAAGGGTAACAAGGGTCCTGCAACTCACACACAGGTGAGCAAGAACAATGGGGTACACAAGGCTACAAGAATCTGGCTCCAAGATCCAGACAACAGAACAAGACCGCTGCTGCCTGTCCCATGACTGTAACTCAGGACCAGAAGCAGAGCCTACATTCACCACAGGAGACTACGGGATTTGGGAACCTAATGTGTCTGCCCCTGAACACTGTCCAACAAATGGCTCCATCCTACAGCTCCAAGGGAAGGGTCTTAATCTAGACATGAAGACAACTTGTGCCCTAACTTGTCACGCAAGGCTGCTACGCACACTGTAGGATTTTCATAGTAATCCTGGCCTCTTGCATTGAATCCCAGCAGTACCTCACTGGCTATGATAATCAAAACACCTCCAAACACTGCCAACTGTCCCCAAGGAAAAGCCAGCCTCAGTGGAGAGTCACTGACAGGAACTGAACACAGTTAAGTTCTGTCCATATGTAAAATTTTCACGTGGGATTTAGTTTTACCCAACATTAGAGACAGAATTCAAAATAAGCTAATAACAACAAAACAGCAGCAATGATTTTTAAAAAGCTCTAAAGATAGAAATGACATTGTTTTTAATGAAAGAAGGAGGGGGAGGAAAAGGAGAAAGAGAAAGAAAAGGAGGAGACGCAGGAGGGAGGAAGGAAGAGGAAGAAGAAGAAAAATAGAGGAGGAAGAGGAGGCAGGAATTTTTGTGACATTAATTTAAAATTATCAGTGAATGGAATAAGGGATATTTCTGTATAATTTGTAGATAGAGCCAAGGTTTTGCTGTGTAAAATTGTTCAGGAAATGTTTCTTCCCCAGTGCCTGTTTTTTTTTTTCTTTTCAGGATGACACTGGTGTAGGAAACCCACAAAACAGCCACATAAAAGGATAATGAGGGCGTGGAGGGCATGACCTGGTATCCCTAAAGACGCAGTGGCATGCTGAGGCTAGACACTGATGGCAGAAGGTTACATGCAAAAGCCAGAAAAGGTGAGCTTGAGGAGAAGGAAAACATTAAGCACAGCCTGGCCCTGCACTAAAGAACATGTATCTGGTCCTTAGGTCTTACAACAACTGGTCCTGGAACTCGAGGGGAAGCAACCAGGCAGGGAGATGATTTGGTCGCCTTTGCAGCAGGAAATCAATTGATAATCTGATAATGAATAAACCAAGAAAGACTGTGACAGGCCCAACATCCAAAGCTATAACAACGAACCCGAAAGGAATCACTGCACAGTTTCAGCCATCCACAATGGGGAATGAAAAGGGAAGGGAAGGCTCAGTTGGGGGACTCGCTCTTAGTTGCAGTCACTCGTTACAAACAGAAGCTTCTGCGGTGGAGTTCATTTTCACACACAATTTTTAAAATGATATGGATAGTATGAGCATTTCTGTGTACATGCCTGTGCTCATAAAGCACACATTAAGTCCACCTGAAAAGGGACTCACAAGCTTTTACAGCAGCTAATCTGTGCCAGGAGTTAGTGGAGTCTTTTCTGGCTCATTTGTCTCTCCCAGTGTTTCCACAATACACATAGGTGGTTTTGTTATCAGCAGAACGTTATTTTTTAAAGTTATCTGATAAATAAAAATGATACAGTGAGTGGGTAAATAATCCCAGGGACTGCAATAATATAACTTCAAATAGCCAAGTTACTACAGCCTCAAGGTCTGGCTGGTTATAGGATGAAGAAATGAATATAAGACCCTAGGTATACATGTTTAAAGGATTCATGCAGTAAAGTGAGTCAACTCCTACATGAGTTACAGATGGAGATTTGGGACTCTGGGGGTGCAGTCAATGGTATGCCCCTTGCCTGGCATGCTGGAGGCCCTGGGTTCTACCCCAGAATTGCAGAAAAACAAAGCAGATGGAGATCTGCCTCCGCCCAGACATGGGAACCACCCATCGCCATCCTCTCCTGGCCAATGGGAGGATCTTCAGTCTCCACAGCTGGTGAGGTCAGGAGGGACTCACTTCACCATCTCCAGAGTCCATGTGAATCCCAAATATAGGATGCCCATGCACTGTAGAAAATGGTCTCAACTTCTGCCTTTTCCCTTTAATTTTGTAACAGAAGTTTATAGTGGGGAACCTTTCCCAAAGTGAGGCTGGTCATCCACAGGACTCTGAACAGGTGGGGCTCACGTGTGTGTCCCACTGACAGACCCCACATTAGCACCAGCACCTGCACCACTGAAGGTGGGAAGTAATGGGGTTGCCCTGTTCCCCACAGGAAGTCTCTCCGCACTGTCAGTCTGAAAACTCAAGATGAGAGCTGTTTTAACAAGCTTTTCAGCACTACTTCATTTTAAAAAGTGCTTATTTAAGGCAGCACCATCTATTTTAAAACACGGCTTAAGCAGTCCTAATCAGAAAACCAAAAATCTAAAATGCTCCAAAATCCAAAACGTTTTGGGTGCCAAAATGAAGCCAGCAGTGGAAAACTCCACAGCCTGAAACTGCTGCATGCACAGAATCGTTAAATTGATTGTATACAATGACCGTCAGGGCTATGAATAGAGGGAGTATGTGAACATAAAGGAATATGGGGTGCAGGCCTGGGTCCTACCCTGAAGCTGTCTCATTATGTACATGCACTTTGTCCAAAATCAGAAAATTCCTGGTGCTGAGCATTTCAGAACAGGAATACTCAACCTGTACTATTACCCTTTGAGAAGCAATAAATTGGCCAGTTTTCCTTAGAGGAAAGCTGTATGCCTAATAAAATGCCTTGCCTTCCTCTGGCCTCTTGCTCCAGGCAGTCTGAGCCCCTCCATGTGCACACAAGAGTGCAGATGCCAGGCCCGGCACTTCCGGTTCCTGTCTCCTGGTCCCTGCAGCTGGGTGGGGCCCACAATAGCTTCCCCGGGAGCCGCCCTGGCTCTGCCTCCCCACTGTTTCCTCCCCTCTCCCCTGGGTGTCTGGGCAGCAACAGTCCACAGCCTTCAGATCTCTGCCGGGAACTCACTGTCCCAGATGTTAAGTAAGTGAATCCCTGGCTTCTAGTGGAGGCACAATAAATGTTTGTTAATTAATAGAATTTTTGTAAAATTTGATCGTCCCATTTTCAGATCAATACAACTGCTTTCAATTTACTGTTAACTCAGTAGTAATTTCTTTCACAAACTTGATTTGTACCTCAAAGTTCCTTCCAATCAGAAGTCTTCCTTTTTTCAGTGAGTTCTCTACAGAGCAAGCCCTGAGTCAGCAAATCAGAAAACTTCCAGTGTGACAAACTCTGCAGCATATTTGGTTCAAGCCCTCAGGGTCATACAAGGAAACAGGAAGTGAGAGGGGAAGTGACCTAGCAAAGTCATTTGGCCACTTCCTGGGTGGGAAGGGGTAGGACCCAGGGGACCCCAGCAAGTCCACACGCTTCCTTACCATAGCTCTGGAGCTCTTCCATGAGTCTGTCCACCTCAAGGTGCAGCTGGCTTTCTACAAAGTTCCTTATAAATTTGTTTCTCAGGGCTTCCTAAAGGAAAATAATATAGCTTCACAAACAGAGCAGCATCATGTCCTCCTACTTAGTAAGAGTTGTATTAGACTTATTCAAAGGTTCATGACACCAGCAAAAGACACATAAAGTAAATCCACTTAAAACATGTTGTATCTGGACATAATGACACATGCCTGTAGTCTCAGCACCCAGGGAGGCTGAGGCAGGAGGATCACAAGTTTGAGCCCAGGCTGGGTAATTTACAAACTTAACCAGACCTTGTCTCAAAATTAAAATTCATAAAAAGGGTTTGGGTTATGGCTCTGCGCAAAAGCCCTGGGTTCAATCCCCAGTACAGCAAAACAATAATAATAATTAGTAAGAGTTCTAAAACATAATGAATAACAAGTTAATATTCAATGAAGTATTTTCCTTGAAAAACAAAAGTAACATGAAAATTTAGGAAAGAATTATAGTGATGCACTAGTATTATAAACAAAGATTCCATTAGTGACTTGCAGGGCCACGGTTTCCTAATGGAGCCACATGGCACTCTGCCTTCTAGAGATGCCTGCTTTTCATGACCTCCAGGGCTGGTGCAAAGCATCGGCTGCCCTCCCACTTCCTGTTCCCCTCATCACCCCGCCCGGCACCCTCCGGTGCTCCTCTCAATGGTTTTACTGTGGAGAGTTCTCCAGGGTCACTTTCAACTTCATCAAAGTCTGCGTCTCCATTTGGCGGTCAGCGTTTATTCACTTTATTCTTCCGTGTACAAAGTCCCACAAAAGCTGAGAGGAGGAAGAACTACAGCTGCATGGAGGCTCAGCCAGGCATGAAGGCATGGGGATGAGTCTGGGACTCACCACTCCTCAAGGAGTAAACCCCACTCTGGACTCTGTTCCCACGGACTAGGCACTGTGGGTGCTCCAGTAGCCAGTGCCCTCCAAAGTGTGCGCAGCTGCTCACACTGCTGAGGTGGCCTCATCCAGCCTCATCTAAAGATCACAGAACTACTCTGAAATCTCAAGGTTTGCTTTTTTAAAAATCTTATTTACCTTCTTTTATTGGGCACTAGGTATTGGCCAGACACCATGCAGGGTGCTTTATCACACATGATCTCATTTAATTCAGCAGCGTGACAGGACATGACAGTTGCCTTTTACCAAGGGGAAAAGCCAGGGGGCTAAGTCAGGAGCAACACCCAGAGGCTCTAGCAGCAGAACCAAGACTTGTTTGGACTTCACTCCAAGTCCAAACACAGACAGCTTTCCCAGAACACGAACCCAGAGCCAAGAAAGAGAGTCAGTCTTCCTGACTGCACAGGAAGATGAGCCAGGCGTGATGGTGCAAGCCTATAATTCCAGCACTCTGGGAGGTTGAAGCAGGAGGATCCCAAGTTCAAGCCCATCTCAGGCAACTTAGTGACTTATCTAGTCCTTGTCTCCAAAAAAAAAAAAAAAATGCTGAGTGTAGCTCAGTGCAAAGGCCCTGAGTTCAATCCCCAGTACCATGGGGAGAAACAGAGTGACAATCTGTGATTTTGTATGCTAAGATAAGTGGTTCTTCAAGTGTGGCAGATGGACTGGAATTCCTGAAAGGACTGCTCAGCAAATGGCACTCAGCTTAACTGCACTTCCTAAGGAGCTGCCGGTGCCTGCGGCAGAGCCAGTGCTGCCTCCTGTCCTCCCGGAGCGTGTGCGCTGTCGGCCTGGCACACTGACACCTGTGTCACTGCTCCCAGCTGCAGACAGGACCTCACCCAGACCCAACCTGCTCGCCATCCAGACCCTCTCTGGAAGGTCGCTGTGTTCACAGCGGAACGCACGGGCCAGCAGAGAGAGCAACCACAGAACTGCAGCTTAGACAGCTGCAGCCACCTTGGGAATGAGCAGGGGGATGGGTGGGAACATGGGCTGCCTGCCCGGCACATTGTGTCCTGAGGTCCCCACCACAGCCCAGACCTGGTGCCTCCACTGACCACTGACGGGGCTCCAGCTGGTGAGCAACTTCCTCTGCGATCCCTGCATGGCTGGCCCGGCCGGCCAGGGCGCCACCAGCTCCCCTCCCTCCTGCCTCCTTCCCAGGTGGGGAGGCCTTGGTCCTGGCCTGCCCTACCCCTCTTTTGCTCTAACCGCTGTAGCCATGGTAAGATGCACACACATCTATCTCCACTTCTGGGGGCATCTGGACTCAGCTGGTAGTGGTGTCTCTGTGGTCAAACCCACCCCACAGCTCACTTCACTTCCCAGCTGCTAGGATTTCCTGGCTGCATAGGAAGAAGCCCAAGGTGCAGAAAGGTTCAGGGAGCAGCCCAAGGTCACACAGCAGTGGATAGCAGAGGAGCTTGGAATCAGACTTGGATGGTTTGATCCCCAAATCCATGACCCCCTGCTGCTTGTTAGTGGGCAATAAATAACCCGGAAGTGAACAAAAAGACGGGACTGTTTCCTCCTCTTCCCAGATTTAAGGTCAACTAGGATTTCCCAAGCACCCCTGAAGTTATTAGGAAAACTAGTGGAACTAACATTTTCTAGTTAATGATTGCCAGGCCCTGAACCAGTTGGGCATTTTAAACCATAACCCATTTACTTTGTCAAACTTAGGGTGTCGACACAGACTATTAGGAAACGATCACTAATCACCATAGTAGATTTGTAACTAAAAAGAATGGAAATGATCTAAAAAGCATTGATTTAATATGGAATTTAAAGCACAGGTGAATGTAGATAAGTTATTAATCAATTCCATAACGAAGCCATCTTGCATGGGGTAAAACACTGAAAACTCACAACAACTTTTCACACATATCTGATTTTTATGCCAACTCTGCTCACTGGCCAGGATCCTCTGCAGGTGGCCCTGGGTCTCAGACCCTGCCAGGCAGCGCCTCACCCTGGGTAGTGAAGGCATTAACCACCCACCTGCAGCTGGCTGATCATCTGTCCATTTCCACCTCCCTGGAAAAGGCTGGACATCTTCAGCAATGTTTCCGATAAAGCTTTTAACTTGTCCACAAAATAAAAAGTGTAATTAGCCTGCAAAAGAAAGCACACTGGGGTGAGTCTCATTTGGTCGCTGCATTAGGATGAATTAGTCCCGCAACATCTTCAAAATCAATGAGCACCATACACAATTTGCTCCTCAGAGCAGAGTCCTGCCCCTGCCCCCGCAGGCCGGCAGGCACCTCCTGGCCCTCCCAGGAAGGCCTGAGAGGAGCCTCGCCGTGTCAGGGAACAGGCCCCAGCATCATCCAAACCAATGCAACCGTGCCTGCCTGCATCCCCTCTGCCACGCACACCTAGGCATCTGCTCCACAGTGGCCAATGCCAGCAAGCACAGAGTGAGACTGGGTGTCTGTTCTTTCACTGCTGCTGGCAGAGCTCACTGCTATGAGACTCTTATGAAATAATTTGGCATCATAAAATATGCACAGACATGGACCCATAAAACTGCACATGCCTCTGTCTCTCAAAATTAAAAGATTCTATTCTAAGGAAATAATTGCAATGAAATATAAAGCTATAGCCATGAAGATGTCAATCGCAACTCTCTTGTATTTAACACCGAACAGAGGCTTGGTGCCAAAGAAACAGTGAAGAGATGGCCTGAGACTCTGGACCCATCCCCGGGGTCACCTGGAGACCCTCATGGTGACACAGGCACTGCAGAGCAGCCACTACAGTACAGGAAGCCCTATACCCTGGTCGGCCTTCCAGGAAGAGAGGGGTGGGACAACTGACTGTGAAGATGAATGAACATTTCAGTGTCCCAGCCCCAGGCCTGCCGCACACGAAGTGCTCAGTAAACAGGAATGCAGCTGCTGTGCTGGTCAGAAACACACACAGACGTGTGGAGGAGACTGCTTGCCCTTACTGGTGTGGCCAACTTAGAAGACTTGCAGAAACTCGTATCTAACATCGAAGGATGCATGCACATGTAAACATTTATGTGCGTGGACATGTAGATACGTACAGCAAGTTATTAACACTTAGGTTAAAATATCCTGATTTATTTTACATATGCACACCCCTACTATTCAAATACTCAAGAAAAATTCACTAAAACTAATATGCTAGGACAAATATCAGTAAAATATAAAGACTTACAAATTAGTTAGGTATATATTATGAAATTTTAAAATTCTTAACAAAGGTTTGTGTAAAAATGTTTTAGATTAATAAATTGAAATTTTAAAGCATTATTACAAATAATTTTAATTTCAGGAACAAATTCAGGAAATGATCAGACAAGAAAAAAGGATGATAATATTAGCTACCAAAACATATTATTTAGAACCAGAATTCACCCTCAAATAATCAAACAAAAATTCACTTAACATATCTAAAAATAATAATACAGAAAATCTAAGGAAACCAGAAAGAATACATTAGTCAAGATAAATTTTAAAAATAAATGATTTGGAGAAAAAGTAAACAACAAATGCATGAGATATTCCTCTAAATAAATAACAAAGCATTTAAATATCTTGCAATTATTTAATGTTTACTTTATGTAGTATATGTAAATCATTCAATGTAAAATGTGAAATCATTCAATATGAAATAAATGTAAATAAATATAATAAAATAACAAAGCATAATAATGTTCAAAATAATTTTAAAGTATTAAACATAATAAAATAATGTACTAATAAAGCTACCAAAAGTTAAAAAATTCCTATAATATATAACACATCATTTTGACTACAGATTTTTAAATCTCGGTGAAATGTGTGTTAGGAACAAAGTAATCAGCAAGACGCTGTAGAAAACCCTCATGCGCGCACACAAGCCCTGGCCACAGTGAGTGCTGCCTGGCCTCTGCTTCCCAGAGGAGCCCTGCAAACGCTGCGCACTTCTGACAGAGACCAGCGCACATAGGAAAGGTGGCTGCCCCCGGGGCTGAGATGGGAACAGATGAGGAGGCCCTGGGACATCACTGAACCCCACAGGCAGCCATCAAAGGCCTCGCGCCTCACGTAGGAAGGACTGGAAAATGGCACCCCAGCCATGACACGGTAAGCCCCTTTCTCGACTGAACACCTGAAAACAGGGCAAGAGGCCTCCACAGAGAGCTCCGAAAGGGGCAAAGGAGACAAGTGTCTGGATCCAGTCGGGAGGAGCATAGCAGGAGGGAGCCTCACCACCCCAGCCCCAGCACAGGAAGCTGACCACACACTGCACTTGCCAAGCAACAACCTAGCAACAGAGGGCAGCCCCGCTGGGCTCCCTGTGCCCTGCTCTCCACAGCACCAGGCCAGCCCACAATACCAAGGGGCACCCTGGGAAAAGGCAGCCGGGAATAACTCTCCTCCCACCAGGAGGCGTAGAAGAAGACCCAGGGCAGACCAGCACGCAGGCTCCCACCACAGCAAGCCCAGCCCAGCCCAGACATGGAGCAGACAGTGGAGCAAGGGGCCCCCTGCCACAGTGCCCTGGCCTGGAAACCTTCGCTGCCCCTGCAGCAGGAGGACTGTGCATGGCAAGGGCCTGGCCTGCCAAGTCCCTCCTTCTCAATGCCCAAGACTCCATCCCCATGGAGGCACCTGACAGTGGACCAGGAGAAAGCCGACCTGCTCTCCTAGGAGCCACATCGAGACTACCAGGAACTCCGGAAGCACCAGAAACCAAGCAGAATGGAACAGCACCACAAACACTACAGAAATTAAACTATCACTGGAGCCATGGCCTACAAAGTAGGCCAAGACCTGTGCATTATATCTAAGCAGGACGACTGCCTGCAGTAATAAAAGACACAAGGGCCATAATGTCCTAACATAATAGCAAAGATGTCCAGGATACAACTGAAAAATCAGCCGTCTCACAAAGAATCAGAGAAAACACAGCTGTATAAGAAAAGCAACCAGCTAAGACCATTATTGAGATAAATTAGATGCTGCAACTATCTGGCTGGTATTATAAAGCAGTCACCATAAAAACGTTTCAACAAGAAGTCACCAATTGTCTTGAAACAAATAAAACAACAGAAGAATATCACACACATGCACACGCACACGTGCGCGCGCACACACACACACACACACACACAGGCAGGTATAAGTGGGAGTGGGGAAATCTGAACAAGGTCAGTGAATCCCACCAATGTCAGAAGCCTGGCTGGGATCCTGCCCTACAAGGCTGAGATGTTACCAGAGGGGAACTCAGTAAGGGTGCACCAGATCTTTTTGCTATTTCTTACAAATGCATACAAATCTACAATCACTTCAAGATAAAAATTAAAGTTTTTAATTTTTTTTGGTACCGAGGATTCAACTCAGGATCTTGCACTTGCAAAGCAGGCAGCGGCACCACTGAGCTAAATCCCTGGCCCAAAATTTAATTTTTAACAGGATACAGGAGCCAAACTGAAGAAGTACCCACTGACCACAGACAGGCAAATGTGAGCATAAAAACATAGACTGGAATGGAATGGAATGCATCAGATAGGTTGATATCTCTGACTTTGCACTATTTTTTAATTAATCACCCTGACAAGATGAGCAGAAATCGGTAAGGCTCACCACCCAAAGTCCCCCCAAAGTGGGTCATGATTCTCAGATGTGCCATGCTTGGTGTCGTCCATTTTCATCTCGTTAGAAGACACGACTTGGACTTCGTTTCACCTACATACCACCTACTTACTCACTGTTGATTCTAGAAAATGGCCTACTCCTCCCTTACTTGCAATTACTCTTTTATTTAAAATATAGAAGGAAGAATTACAAGATGACTGGGTCAAAGCATGAGGCATTAGCTCTGAATTGTTGTTGTTGTTGTTGTTGTTGTTGTTGTTGAATCCATCATTTTCTTATTTATACCACTCTCTCCCTTCTCACTGCATCCCTCAGCTTAAAGGGGAATGAGATAGAGGAGTTTTAGGATCTGAGAATTAGATATACTCAGAGTAAAGAACAGAAATACATTTCTTTCTTGGTTTGGTTAAACCAGTAAGAGCAAAGCCAAAGGAGGGAGCAGCCCCCATTTCCACTCAGCTCATTTCATAAGTAGGAAGAGCCCACTTCGCCATGTTGGGTGGGCAGATGGATAGAAGGAGAAAAGGAAGGCCTTTCTCTTCTCCCAGAAACAAAGGAGGAAGGCCTCACAGGAGGCCTGTGCCTTGACCCATCCAGCAGAGGACCTGGCTGGACAGGACAGGTGCCAGAAACACAGCCAGCACAGCCGGATGCCAGCACTTCCCTCCAAGTCTCGAGTCCTCAGTCCTGCACACAAGCCCAGCGAAACAGAAGATGACAAGGTGGAGGCTTCCTGGAACCCTACCATGTGTACACTTTCTGCTCTCTGTACCAATTCCCAGTTTCGGAGTAATTGGCGAGGCGGTCTTCTCCTTTCTTACCCTGTCCCTGGGAACTAGTTCCAAACAGAGGAGACACTTCCAGGGCTCCCCCGTGACCCCTGAGGTTGTGTACACATTCATAAGAACAAGTGCACACTCTGGAATGCTGTCTTTCTTCATCCGACGACCCACTTCCATCTGCATCTTGCCTGGAGTTCATTTTGGAAAGCAGTCTAGATCAAACTCATTCTTTTTAATAATTTGTAAGCTTTTCATCTTACAGATGCACAAAATTTAACTGTTTCCCTACTGATGGCTAGATTGTTTCCCAGCCCTAGCACTTATAAATAATGACAATAAACACTCTTGTCATGTGTGATTACATCTTTGTAACACTGACAAATATTCCCAATTGGCCTCAAAGATATCACACAATACCCTCCCGCCAGCAGTGTATGGAAGTGCCTTGCTCCCAACACTGTCGACGAGCAAAATATTTCCAGTCCAGGCCCTGAGCATTTTAATACAATCTCTCGCTTGGGGCCAGCTCCTTTTGGGGATTTGCATTTCTGTTATCATGAACTGTGATAGCCAACCCAACTCCATCTTGAGCCTCACCACCATGCTGTGCTTGTGCTGGACAAAGCACCCAAAACCCCTGCATCCTGTTTAGCAGTAAACTTGCTGCAGTTGCAGGATGTTGTGTAGCTCAGCCAGTGTGTGAAACTTCCTCTTGCCCCCA